GAGGGGATAGTGGTACCGTAGGTTCGTGGGAACTTAGTACGATTCCCTAAAAAAAGCCTCTGGGCGGCCTCCAAAGGGTCCTATACGGATCGGTCACCGCCGAATTGACAAAAAATTGCGACTCCGATGGTGCGGCAAATGTCATCAGCATGAGGTTCCAATAGCTACAGAAACGCGTTGAGGCAGACTACGTGGTGTTTCCGCGTTCGAGGTAGGGCAACGTAATTTACGCTAAATCCCCCCCTGAGTTGAATGTCGTGAATGTTAAAGAGAGTATATTGGCTGGAGCCCGGGAAAGGGATTGACAACTTGCTTTAAGGCATGTCCTGCTGGACTTTGACTTGGTAGGAATAAATGTCGTTATTCCCAATGAGAGAGGGAGACGGAGAAAGAAAGAAAAACAGGACAATACGAGATCCAGAACAGGTGCCTTAGGGTTGAGAAAAGTGATTAGGAAGACGTGCGTTTGACGAATCGGCGGGGTGGGGGCGTAAGGGTGTGGTGTGGAGACTGTCAATACACCAAACATCCTTTTTCTTAAAGGTAACTCGGGGTGTGCGCCTCGGAGACATGTATTGTACATATTATAATTTGGAGTTATACTCAATATAATGGTAGATCCGATAAAAGATCATCCTGCAGGATTAGACGCATGTTTTCCAATCATGTAAACGGTACTGTTATATACTTAAGATCCCTGCACCTTTTTACACCAATCGTCTGCAATAACTTTTTGCCAACGTATCGAGACTGGGGATTCAAACAAAGGAGATAGCGCGTTTGCGAAAGACGGGTTAGGTTTGAATTTTTGATCCTACAAGGACGTCATGATCAAGAGCTGTCAATTTTATGATTGTTGTCGTGGCAAGTTCCGCGGGCAGCACTGCCTACTAGGCGATGCGCACAAGTGAGTGACGAGTGGGGAAGGTCCTACGACAGGTGATGATGGCGAAGCAGGAATAATGGAAGCATATGGATCTCGTGCGCGAGACTAATTATCTTGAATATCTATCTTTTTGGTCTCGGTGGCGTTCCGGAACGCTTGCCAGCAGTAATCGAGAGATGGTGTCAGAAGTCAGAGAAACACCGTACGCGGCGCTCGGGTGGGGAGCTCAGGTTGTTGCGCCGCAGATGGCTGCAACGTTTTTGGAACGTGTGCAATGGCGCAGGCTCGTAGGGAGTTGGAAACAGTGCACTCGCGCTGCCGCGCCGCCTAGTAGGCCCAGTAGACTGGCAGCTGCGCTCCCGACCCTCGGCTTAGCTGTCACTCGATGGTAATCGAGGTGGGAGCGGAGTCCCAGCGCTTGATAGAGCCTTAATTCAACTCGCGAGCCTTCTCGAAAGAGAAGAGGCTATAACTAGAAGAAACATAAAGAGATTTTTGGTAGTTAAAGTAGATTTCGTATATTAGTTTAGGGCATTAGTAGTTTTCATTGAGAACGGCCTTCAAGTGCCCATGTGTCTAGTAATGGCTCAAGGGTCGGTTGTCGGGAACAGGTACTTACAAGATACGTACCCGAGGTACCATATATGTATACACAGAGTGTACGACAGACTTGTACGTACAGAAGCTGTAACGCTAACCCTAAGACTGAACCTAAAACCTGACTCTAGCACCCTAACCCCCGGGCACAGTCTCTACTTTCTCCCTGTCTGTGTCTCTTTTTTTCTTCTCTCCGTCTCCCTCTCTCATTGTGGAATAACGACATTTATCACCAAGTAAAAGTAAAGCAATCCACCAATATATCTTTACACATCGATACTAATTTAGGTAAATTTCCCATAGCACACATGCGTTTTTAGTGTAACCATGTGACTCCGAGGTGCATGGCATATCCTCTGACGTATCCGAGGTGAAACGAGTGAAATCCATCAATGTTGATAGTTGCCTGTTGCTTGATCCTCTATCTGGTGTGCAAATAGGATGTGTGAACGTTGGAGCGGAAATTGAATGCAAGAAAAATTGGACTGAGTGATGCTCAGGTAATGAGTTATTATAGCATATACGCAGTAGTAATTGACAATACTAACCACACACATGCAGCTATTACTAGAACAGGCAGTTAGGCACAGCATGTACTTGCTAGAATATTAATCTTGTTTTGCCAGAGGTCTTGATATTAATCACGTCAGTATTCATCACACTTTACCATTACAGAACGCCCACGTACTGTTAAACCCATCTGAGCCACACTACCTGTATTTGGCACCTGTATATATGAGAACAACATAATCTATTGTTTGGATAGACCTCCACCTGTGTTTATAGGTTTTGGGTTTCTGTTGGTTAGGTTACTATAAATATTTGCTGAGCATATTATATACCAGCTTAGCTCTACATGATCATTTATAAGCCTATTACGCCCCTAGCATAAACTTTCCTGGGGAACATGTCTCTGTGTAGACTGTGTGTGCATGTGTAGGTGTATGGGCTGCGCTGTGCTCCCTCCTGACGTCACGTGCAAGCTTGCTCATATATATATATAGCCACGAGCCTAATGCCCCCAGCAGCAACTCGCACTGAGAATATATGAGCGCAGGTATAGGAGGTATAGGTGCGGTATTCTGTTATTATGCTCAGTAAAAGATTCGTGTGCTTAGATAACGGAAATGTTAAGTTAGGAAAGGACTTCGGAGTTGTCAGTTTTACTGTGCTATCTCATAAACATTGGCTGTAGTATGTACATGCAGCATACTCAATAATTCAGTGACCATGGATTATTTTTCAAATACTAGTAATATAACAGACAATGTCATTTCACGCCAGCGTGTGGACCATATGGTCGCTAGCATCATGGTTCCTATAATGTGCATCTTGGCTGTCGGAGTAGCTGTGACGAACGTAGCAACCATTGTTGCTTTTAAGAGGACCGATCTACGAGAAGCTCCACACTATCTAGCGGTGAACATGGCTGTCTCCGACATCGGTCTCGGCATGTACCCGTTCTACCTCGCTCCGGCTATCCTCGGCGACATGCCGAAGCCGTGCTGCATCTTCATACTGTTCGTGATGAACTTCTTCGGCAAGATCTCCTACACGAACCTGCTGCTGATCACCGTGGACCGCTACCTGGCCGTCACCCGGCCGATGCACTACTACCAGATGGTGACGGTCGCGCGCATCAAGGTGCTGCTGGTGTTTACGTGGCTGTGGGGACTCGCGCTCAGCAACGCCGTGCTCGTCGGCGAGCGCTGGTTCCCGGAGAGCGGCTGCTCGTACGAGCTCGTCGTCGGCAAGGGCGCCATCTACTTCGGCACCGCGCACATCTCCGCCGACATGGTCATCATGTTCGCCGTCTACTCGCGGCTCGCCGTCATTGCTTACGGACACTGGAAGGTGGAGCCGACGGTCGCCGGCGGCAGCGCACTCACCAAGCACCTCAAGCTGACGAAGGTGTTTCTCGTCGTCGTCGTCTCGTTCGTAGTCTGCTGGAGTCCTTTCTACATACTGACGCTGCTGGAGATCACTGACAACTATGCGGACAGCGTCGGCATCGTTCGTTACACGCTCTACTGTCTTCCCCTCGTCAACCTGCTCTCGAATCCTCTGATTTACGCGTGGAAGATACCAGCGTTTAGTAAAGTATTCAAGGCTATTTTCATGTGCAAATATGTGTCTGCAGAGAGACAAGTCACAGATGGTGATCATCGGTCAGCAATTTCTAATACAAGTAATCAGCTGCGAGCAAAATAAAAATTGAAAATATACTCTGTAGGAAAATGTGTGGCAGACATATTTTAGAAAACCATTTTCTATGAGCAGAAAACTGTTAAAGCACAATTCATCTACTATATTCCTAGCATATATGCTTTTTATTGATTGGGATAGCAGCATGCTGCATGTTAGCAGTTGGTACAAGTTTTGTAAGTAATATGTTTGCTTATGTATAAAATAAATAGTATCAAAATTATTGTTAATGGTTCTGTTTATCTTTAATCATTGTACTACATCAGCATGTACTGTATAATTTACCATTTCTGTATGAAAAACTTCTAAACACATGCAATTTTTTCTAGGACACGGTCAAACAGCCCAAACTTTATATTACTAACCTTCTTNCTCTCTCTCTCTCTCTCTCTCTCTCTCTCTCTCTCTCTCTCTCTCTCTCTCTCTCTCTCTCTCTCTCTCTCTCTCTCTCTCTCTCTCTCTCTCTCTCTCTCTCTCTCTCTCTCTCTCTCTCTCTCTCTCTCTCTCTGACACATACACCCTCCCTCCCTGGTTCTCTCTCTCACACACACACACACGCACGCGCGCACACCTCTCTCTCTCTCACACACACACACAGAGGTGTGCGCTGGCCTCTCTCTCACACACACACACACGCCAGCGCACACCTCTCTCTCTCTCTCACACACACACACACACACACACGCCAGCGCACACCTCTCTCTCTCTCCACACACACACACACACACACGCCAGCGCACACCTCTCTCTCTCTCTCTCTCACACACACACACACGCCAGCGCACACCTCTCTCTCTCTCTCTCACACACACACACACA